GGCGCCGCCATCCGCCACCCCCGGGGGCTCCGCCCGCCGCCGGCCCCGCGCTGCCGCCCGCCGCGAGGATCCCCGAGCGTCCCCCCATTCCTGCCCGGGCTGCGGGCGTCACCCCCCGATCCCTGCCCCGCTGCCTCTGTCCAGCTGGGGGACAGGTCCTTGGGGACAGCAGGGTGCGGTGGGCACCATGGACAGGTTTTCGGTCATGTTTGCAGTGGGCACAGAACGGAAAACACCTGGTTGTTCTCTCCACCCCAAATGTCTCAGGTCTCCCTGATCTCCAGCTCCCTGGATGGGGGAGGCAGAGGAGGGTGCTCACCCCCGTGGGTGCTGCATGAGCTCCGGTGGGTGGTCTCAGCATGAGTGGGTACCCACCAAACCTCACTGGTGCTCGGCACGCCAGCATGAAGATAAATGGTGTCACCAGCACCTGTCACCACCCCGGCGTGACCAATCCCACAGGTATATTTTTAGGTGCCTGCATTCAGCTGTCACAGCTGACCCAGACAGGGACTGTCACTGCCAGTCCCTGCAGCCACCAAGGGAGCAGGGTCTGGCTGTGCACGCTGTGCTCATCCTGCCCCGGGCTGGGGGCACCTCTGCTGCCAAGGACAAGCAGATGCCTGGGCTGTGATACTCCACCTTTGCAAGGCTCCCTGTCACAGACCCACTGCAGCACAGAGCAGCATCCTCACCCTTGTTTTAAGAGGAAGAGCACTTAGCTTAAGCACGTTGTGTGAGGATCACCTCCCTGTGGGCTGGGAAGGTGCAGCAGGTGGCAGTGACCTTGCACAGCCTAGGGCAGGGTTTGTGTGCCTGTTCATCAGCCTTGCATAGCTACGGCATAAAGCCCTCTTGGATCCGGGCTGTGCAGCTGTGTGTGTAAGAGTGGAGCACTTGCCAAAACTAAATTCAGCTCCCCAAATCAATAGGAGCTTTCCAAAATTTTGGATGCTCAATCAGGAGCTGCTCTGGATGAAGCTCAAGCCCCTGACAAGGCTGGATGCTGGCTCAGCTCTGCGCTGGGAGCTGGCCAGGGCTGACACATTCAGCGAGCCAACCATGCTGCCAGGCAGGGAGTGGGGACATCGAGTCACAAACCATGCGTGCAGTGGGGACATCAGGCCCCAAACCTTGTCTGTAGCCTGCAAAAATCCTTTGAGAATTCCTGGGGGGAGTTGGCACTCCTCCTCTGGCTTCAAGAGAGCGGGCAGGGCAATGCTGCTTGTTGCAGGCAGATAAAGAAAGAACGTGTTCTCCATCCCTTTGAATTTCCCATTTCTCCCTCAGCCTTTGTCTGCACACAGAGCTTTTGAGCCATGGCAGAAATTTTCCAAGAGAAATATGGTTAAAGAGGGGCCTTGGCAGGAAAAGGCTGATGTCGCTTGAGAAATGTGTGCAGATTACACCAAGCTGTTATTAAAAATAAGCGCTGTGCTGCTTCCAGCCTTTGCTTTCTGTGATTTTTCTGGTAGCAATTGCACTTCTCCAGTAAAGGGTCACATATCCAGGGGATGGAATTTGTTTCCTCCTCATCTGCAAATGAGCCTGGTGCCAGCCCAGCATCCCAATGCCTGTGGTGGAGTTTGGGTGCCTGGGCAAGTTCAGACTGCTCATCCATCTGAAATTCCAAAGGATTTTCAGAAAAGCCTTAAGCCTGGGGCTGTATGGGGAGGATTGGAGAGGTGGTGTGGTCCCCACACCTGCTCCATGCTCCAGCCATCCTTGGTTTTACAGCATCCAGCATCACTCTTGGGCTGTCACTCAATCCCTCCCATGGCAAAGCATCTTTTAAACAGCCCCAGCAACTCTTTCTTGGGTTTTAGTCTGACTTTGGGTCTTTTAATGCCTGGTTGAGGACTTGCCACAGTAAAACAGGAGTTAAACAGCAGGAGTTAAACAGCAGGAGTTAAACAGTTTTTTTAGGGAAAGCCCTAAACCAACAGCTAAACAGCTTGGGGCACTCAAATCATGAGCCAGGGCTCCTTTTCCCAAGGCAGTGATGGTGTGGGCAGGGGACAAGCTGGGGACAGTGGCTCCACTTAGCTCTAGACCAACAGGCTTCCCCTGCACATGCACATGGATTTGGGTAGGGAGAGCACCAGTGTTCCCGCGGGTCCCACCCCTCCCCAACAGCCGGCTCTGGAGAGGGTGTGAGGCTGGGATGATTCAGCACGTTCGTTTTTCAGAGAATAAAGGAAGTAATTAAACATCAGCTTTCCTCCCGCCGCGCCCCGCGAGGATGAGAGGGAGGAGATGAAAAGCCTTCAGACGGAAGTTATTTGTCCAAGGAGAAAAGTGGCTAATTTCTCTGGTGCTTTGCTTGTCTGCTCGTTAATGAAAACTGCTCATCAGCAGGAAAAGGGAGCACCCAGCGAGGGGGAGGAACCAGGATCACACATCCATCAGTGGCTGGGCACGTGGTCTTGGTGGCCTTGGGACATCCTGCTCTGTTGGGATGTCACCTCCACGAAACACCCCATGGTACTCAACCACAGGCCTGGGGGCTGTGAATGCAGCTGGATTTTGGGGACCCCCCCCTCACTGCAGCCCCATGGGTTGGGAACAGACACTCCCAAGCTAAACACCATGGAAGGGTTTTCCCAAATCCCAACACCCCACCCCTACCCGCCCCACCCCCCTTAATTTTTTTGTGCAAAGACTTCAAAATGAATTTGTTGAGGCACTTGCAGGGAGATAGAATCGAAAACAGCTTCGTGCTGAAGCCTCCTGCCTGGTGCAGGCTGATGGATGGTGCTTATCTCAACCAGGCATGGAAATATTTAGTGTTATGAAAATCTCTCCCTGAGAACAATTTATTTTCATGCTGATAATAAAAGAACCAAAACTCAGCGTTGGAGGGTGGGGATGCTGCAGGTCACATCGGAGCTCTGGCTTACGGAGCCCAGGACCTGTGCTGTCCTCTGGCCCCTGGCTGGGTAGGTGACCCTCTTGTCACTCACAGTGTGACATCTGCACCTTCCCAAGGTTCGTGATTTACTGGCAGAGGACATCCAAGGCATTGCTCCCTCTTTGCTGATCTCTGGCACACAGAGAGGGGTTGAAACAACGAAAGCTCTTCCATTTGGAGGTTTATATAGATATATTTCTAATTGGATTTTGGCATGTCACGGTTATTTTCAAGGCAGTCTGTAATTATTTGAGAGCCTGATCACCTCCTTTCCCTCAGAACAGAGAACTGGCTTTTTTTCTTTTTAATATTGTTTCCCCAAGTGAAATTGTGAATTTGCAACTTAATCCAATCAGAAGACACACATGATGTAACTCTGCAAGGACACGGCAGGACGGCAGGATCCACCTCTGCCAGATTCCCAGTCAATGCCCAGCAAGGGCAAAACACGTAAGAATAATATTTTAATTCTTTTTTTTGTATTTAAAAAAAGAAAGTATATTAAGAAGATCACGGGTACTTGATGGGGTGGGGAGGTTTTGCTGGTCCTGCAGTAGCTCAGCCCACCCTGTGCTGAGACTGCCTCGTGTCCAGCTGCAACTCTGCAGCAGCTGAACACTGCTCTCTGGCTTCTTCTGTCCCAGCTGAAACCTGATGAAATTCCAACTAATTACAGGGTTTTATTTTTACATGTGTTGTAATTTTTTTGGGCCAAAATAATTTCATCCAGCTCCATCTGCTCTCCATCAGGGAACTGAAGCTTGAGCAGGACAGATCCTCCCATCCTCCCCAGGGCTCTCCCCAGGTTGAGCATTGCCATCATCCCAGTGCTGCACTTGTTATTCCAGTGCCCAGAATGGACACAAATGAAAACCATTATCCAAGCAGAGTTTTCCAGCATCTCACAGCTAATGACCATACACCACCCTGCTGCATCTTAACAGCCTCAAGTTCTTATTTTCTCCAAGCCCGATTTCAGGGCTCTGGGCTGCATTCAACTGCGACTGAATCCGATTTATTATTTACATTGCAAGGTACAGCCTGGCATGAATTGATTTGCCGTGCTCTGATTGCCACTGCACGCTGCTCTGGGATCTGGGAGCTGGTTGCTCACACAGCCAGGCTGCAAAATCAGAAGTTAGGGAATACCAGAGTTCAAAGACTCACACTCTCAGCAATCCAGTGCTCTGTGTTCTGCTCTCACCTTTGGTTGCATCTCTCAGGATGCAGGGAGTGCTGGTCCCAGTGGGGGCAGTGGGATGGATTAACTGGTGCCCCCCAAGGGTTGTCACCCCAGTGCTGCAGAGATCAGATTATTTTAATGGCACCCCTTACTGAAGAAGAAAGGTTTGGGGAATTGGAAAGGGCAAGTGACACTGGTTTTTGGGAAGGAGCCATGGATGGGAGTGCAGGACAGATGGAGAGAGCAGAAGGATAGGGAATAACAGAACTGGGAAGCAAAGGGGAGACCTGGTATTTTGGGGGATTTAGCAGTTGGGGGATTCGTGACCACCTTTACTTTCATCATCACCTTCACCTTTGCCTTCACCTTCACCTTCATCATCACCTTCACCTTCATTTTTGCCTTCACCTTCACTCCTTAACCCTGCCCATGGTCGGAGCTTGCACTACCTCGGGTGGCAGGAATGAGTGAAAATCCCCCAGATCAAAGCCTGTTACTCCGGGGCAGTGATGACAGAGGCAGCAGCTTTGCTGATGCTCAGCTGTGGGAGATGCACCTGGAACAGTGGAGGGCAGAACCATGGACATGCTGCCCTTGGCACAGGGACTCTCATCCAGCAGCCCAAATCACTGAGCACCTTGGGAAATATTCTCCATCTGCCAGAACTCTTGACTTTGGACATTCCCAGATGAAAAGACAATTTTTAAGGAATCCCATTTGGGCAGCATCATTAACATTCTGCTGGCA